CTCTCTCTCTCTCTCTCTCTCTCTCTCTCTCTCTCTCTCTCTCTCGTTTTCACCTCTTATCTCACACACATTTGAGTCGCCATTTTTGCCAGCATAGCACACATATCAAATTTGGTGCTGACTCCTCTGCAATCACTCTCTAGGACAGCAGCTGCTCTACAGAGGTCTAGCAGCGTTAGGAGCCTCTGTGTCGTTTACCAAACTCGCGTTTTTTGTCTTAACAGTCCGTGATCTCCAGTGTGTCCTTTGGTACAGTAAAGTCCTTCAACGTCAGTCCCCACAGAAGTCCCTAGAAGTTGACCATGTTTAGTGTTCTTCTCCTGATCAGCGCGTCAGCCCTCCTGCTGGGCAGCGGCGGTGTACACTGCGGAGGCAGCAACGGCCAGCTTGACTATCTTCCTAACTCGCTCGTTCAGGACTTTCTCAGTCACATTCAAACTGGACCAGAGGGCTCACTGGAGAACAACGCCGGAGGACTTTTTGCTGCTGTTGATGGCAATGTCGCCGATGTAAGTGTGTCTTTACATTCTTTTTTACTTTGTGTAACTCCCTGCTCTCATACCTCAGGAGAACTACCGAATTCGGAAGGACGGCGGCAATGGCGACGCACTGATGACTCGATACCACTTCCAGACACGCGATGACATTCTGCTGCCTCGAGAGCCAGTGCCGCGGAAGGAGTTCCTCGAGCACTCCTCACTGTACGGCCACCAGTACATGCAGGGCGGCGCCGGGGAGGGCACACAGCGCCTCAAACCGGACGGCTCGGTGGCCAACATTCAGGTGATCAAGTCTGACTCGGTTCTGCCTGCTTACTGCAACCCGCCCAATCCGTGCCCGGTCGGCTACACAGGTACAATTGTCGTTTGGGAATGAAAAAAAAGTGTTTGAACTAGTTCCTTTCCCTTTCAGGTGATGACGGCTGTCTGGACGAGTTCAGCAACACAGCGGACTTTAGCAAGGAGTACCAGGCGTCGCAGGAGTGCATGTGCGACAACGAGCACATGTTCGCCTGTCCGGGCAGTACCGATGAAAATGAGCTAGAGACGCTGGCCCGGTCTATTCAGAATGAGGGACTCATGGACAGCACGATGGACAAGATTCTTGAGAACATGCATACTCCGCCCAATCACAAGGTNACGAGCACATGTTCGCCTGTCCGGGCAGTACCGATGAAAATGAGCTAGAGACGCTGGCCCGGTCTATTCAGAATGAGGGACTCATGGACAGCACGATGGACAAGATTCTTGAGAACATGCATACTCCGCCCAATCACAAGGTCGTCGCCAAGAAGTTTTTCATCAAACGAGTAAGTTAGGAATGAAGATGAGTTGAAAACCATTTCTAAACACTCGATTTTCTTTGCATACAACAGTCGGGCAACGCGCAAGTGAAGAAGGTGGTGAAGCGATCAGTGGGATCGGGCAAAGCATCGAAAAAGTCGAGCAAATCGGTAAGCAAAACAACTTTTCAAAAAGAGTCACTGCTAACACTAACTTCTTTGGCAGAAGGCGAAGAATCCCTTCCTTCAAGGTGACAAGTT